AGCCAGCCAGCCAGCCAGCCAGCCAGGCAAGGAGGGAGGGAGGGACGGGAGGGACGGGAGGGAGGGGAGCTGTCCCTTCAGCACCACCTCCCCGAGCAACGCCGGCTCCCCCTCCCCTCCCTCCCCTGCAGCCGCCGCCGGGTCTTCAGAGCCAAGCTGGGGCGGCGGGGACGGGAGGCAGCCTTCCCTAGCGCACGGGGCTCAGCCAGGCTCGCTTTCCCAGGACCGAGGGCTCCGATCCCCCGCCCCCCAGCGAGGAGGCCCAACAGACCGGCTGCAAAGGGAGTTGGGGGTGGGGGCAAAGGGAAAGAAGGAAGTCTGCCCGGTGCTGGGGGACCCATTCCAGGAGGAAACCAGATCCTTGTTAAGCAGCCCCGAGAATGGCATCTTTTTTGGACCTGCTGAAGTTTCAGAACCATCGCCAAGGGCAGCCCCGGGTGGAGCGCCTTGCAGTCATCCAGCCGGGGTGCCACCAAGGCGTGTCTCCCCGTGGCCAGCTCAAGAGTCCAGAGCTCTCAAAGGGTTTAGCGTTATGGCCTTGGGGCGAACACACACCGCTGGGATCGGGGCCACCTCGGAAATCACAGCGGAGAGATGCCCCCCCCCCAGCAGCTTCCTTGGCACCATTCAAAAAGAAAGAAAGAAAACCCGTTGAGAATAGCTGCCTCCCCACAGGGTTCTGTCCTCCTGATTCTAGGGAAACCAGGGACTTTTTCACACAGGCTTTTTATCAGAAATAAAACAGGAGACGAAGTGGGAAGGAAATAAAGCGGGCATGGAGATTTCTTACAGGAGGCTAAGAATTCCTTAGACGAGAGGGTGACTGGCAAAGAAGTACAAAGGAAGAAGGGCAAAGAGCAAGAAATTTTTAACACACCTAAAAGGCAGGAAGGTAGGATGTTTCCCTCTTCAAATGAGGAAAGGAGGAATCTCTGCAGCTGGCCTGAGATAAAATAAATGGGTCAGAAACTGAGGAAAGTGGGGGAAAGTTGGAGAGCTGTGGAGAGAAGGCTGGAGGCAACAGGACTGCTTGCTTCCTTTTATCGGTGTCATATCTGATGGTCAGGGAGAAAGAGAGGCAGGAAGAGGGTTTTCTGGCTCCTGTGCCTCTCCAACCACAACCCTCCCTGTGGGATGCTTTCGAGAGTACGAGAGAGTGTTCTGTGAGAATCAACAGCACAGCGGCTTCGTAGGAATCCTGCACACTATGTTGTTGGTTTTTTTAAAGGTAACTTGGCCAAGTTGTTCAAAAAATGTGGCACTGTAAAGAGTTACTATTATATTTTAATGTGAGTTTTCATGGATCACTTCAGCTTCTTCAGACACATGGAATAATAGGAAGTACAGACTAGATGGAGTCTTCATGACATGTGGACGAGTGCGTGTGGCGAAGGACCATCTCTCTTATTGGGGGGCTATGGCTGGATAGGTCGAAGTAGCACGTCGGGACCTCTCCAGTCATGGGGGCTCTCTTTCCTGCCTCCTCCCACCCTCTTCTACTTGGGTTGGCAGAGTAGACCACTCCTTGTGCTCTGCCTGTGAAAGAGGAAATATTGGACATTCTCCCGAAGAGATGCCATCAGAGATCCTCTCCGCTGCCTGCTCCTCTCCCCCACACCTGCCATAACCGAGACGACAGCAGAAATGACAATTATTTATTAAAGATGCCTCTTGGACCCTGGAAGGCTCAAAGCCTTGATGATAATAAACTGTTTTTTTTTCCTGGGCTCCTTGGGAAACCACAACACAGGCACGGCTTTTGATCATACACGCCACCTGAGGAACGCTATCAAGGGAGGAGCTTCCCTGGCTGAATATAATCTGAGTAGGCCTGGTTTGCTGAGAATCAGTGAGAAATCCTTGAATTCAGTACGGGGTGCGCACAATGAGGAGAGGACCCATCATCATTTTGTTCCAGACATGGGACGACCTGGGAAGATCGCCATGAGCGAGAAGGTCTTGCCTGCTTGGTTCATTTCCTTCTTCGCTGGTGTTTCGGACACGAGTTTCCAAAATTCACCCACTTATTCCTCAATACAAGTGAATGGAACTTGAGGTTTCAAAGAAATTGAACGCGGGTGGTGGCAAAATGGATATACCTGTCTGTCCACGTAGCAGGCTTGGCGTACCTGTTTCTTAGCACTCTGGCTATGAATGTCGGAATGGCAGTATGGTGTGGTGGTTAGGGAGCTGGATCGGGAAATAAAGGTTGACATCTCAGTTGACTCAAAGGGAGACTCAGTGGGTGACCTTAGAGCAGGGTTTTCCAACCTGGGGGTCGTGACCCCCAAGGGGGTAGCACAGTGTCTTCTGGGGTCACAGGTCACTCGTATGTTGTAGCCCTTGTTAAATAATTCCTTCGTAAGGTAAAGGCAAAGGTTTCCCTTGACATTGAGTCCAGTCGTGTCCATCTCTAGGGCGCAGTGCTCATACCCATCTCCAAGCCATAGAGCCAGAGTTTGTCCAAAGATAGTTTTTCATGTAGCCAGTGTGACTAGACATGAAACGCTGTGACCTTCCCACCAAAGTAGTACCTATTTATCTACTTGCATTTTACATGCGTTCGAATGGCTAGGTTGGCCAGAGCTGGGACAAGTGACAGGAGCTCACTCCGTCATATTTATTTATTTATTTGTTTGTTTGAGTTATATCCCGCCCATCTGGTATATTCTACCACTCTGGGCGGCTATATGGATTCGCTCTCATGACGGCTGGTCTTCTGACCTTGAAGCCCAGAGGCTTCTATGGTTTACCACGCTTTAGTATCCTGTTAGTATCGTAGCAGGATACTAAAGTTAGCGTTTCTGTATATGTATGAGAAACGGGCCCTTTGGGGGAGAAAGAAGCCTCTACATTTCTGAGAAGAGATGACTGGACCCCATGGGAAAATGCCTTTTTATGCAAACGTGGTGGTGGTGGTGGAGGGGTTGCAGGTTACTTGGCTCTTATAAAAGGGGGTGGCGACTCAAAAAAGCTTGGGAACAGAGCAATCCCACATGTCCAGCCTGGCCTGCTGCTAACAGGTCATGGTGAGGTGGGGAAAAATGCTTGAGGAGAACTCATTCTGCTGCTTTGAGCTTGTAAGGAAGAAAGGCAGACGGCAGCCCCCACAGAACAGTCCACCTCACGACTGTTGGTGGCGTGGATTTAAGGTTGCCACCGCTTTTTCACTGGATTCTGCTGCTTTGAGCTTGTAAGGAAGAAGGTCGTGGTGTGGATTTAATGTTGCCACCTCTTTTTCACTGACAGGCTCCTCGTCTTTAACAACCTGGCCACCAGCAGATGCAAGAGGATGTTCTTCATCCAGGAGAACCCAGCCACCGCAAAAGGGGTAGAGTTTGTCTCAGATCCATTTCTGGAAGACTTTTCCACAATCCCCTTGATTCTTCCTAAATTTGGTAGGACGGGCTCCAGGGGGTGTGTGCATTTCACCTCTTTTTCACTGACAGGCTCCTCGTCTTTAACAACCTGGCCACCAGCAGATGCAAGAGGATGTTCTTCATCCAGGAGAACCCAGCCACCGCAAAAGGGGTAGAGTTTGTCTCAGATCCATTTCTGGAAGACTTTTCCACAATCCCCTTGATTCTTCCTAAATTTGGTAGGACGGGCTCCAGGGGGTGTGTGCATTTCTGAGAAGAGCAGGCTCCTCGTCTTTAACAACCTGGCCACTAGCAGATGCAAGAGGATGTTCTTCATCCGAGAGAACCCAACCACTGCAAAAGGGGTAGATGCTGGCCACAGAGACTGGCGAAGTGTTAGGAAGCACAGCCTTCGGAAGATGGCCAAAGAGCCCGAAAAACCCACAGCAACCAAAAGGGGTAGAGTTTGGCTCAGATTCATTTCAGGAAGACTTTCCCACAATCTCCTTGATTCTTCCTAAATTTGGTAGGACAGGCTCCAGGGCGTGTGTGCATTTCCCCCGAGGGAATGGAGGAAGAAATAACAATTTCAAAAGTCAACCCATCCACACCCAGGGAGGGGAGAGGGGGAGTCCCTTCACCCCGGGGATGGGAATGAGGTCGTCCTGCAGTCCAGAGCCTTGTTTCAGTGTGATCCAGAACAGGGGAGGCAAGAGAGAAAAGGGAACGGGTTCAGGACCAAGGACAGGGAACAAGCCCTAGCAAGGAAGGAAGGACCAGCGGGGCAGCAGGCCAGCAGGAGAAACAGGCACACAACCCATCAGCAGCAACTGGGCAGGGCGTCCCCCCCACCCCAGGGCTGAAAAAAAAAACAGATAACTCAGTGCACAAAGGCTTCCTCTGAGAAAATTAGCTCCCTTTTTATGAGAGCGCTCTGGTTCCCCAGCTGCTCACGGGAATATTACCGAAGCCAGGCAGGAAAGAGATGATAAGAGAATCCAATGGAATCCAGTCTAGGCCCATTTCACAGAGGGGCGGGGGGCGGGGGAGGCTGGGTTGCAGTGGCTGGGGAGCCGGGCTAATCCTTTCCCTTGTGGTGCTCCCCCCTCTAAAGCTACGACCCTCTTTCTTTGGACCTTTGTGGGCCACAGATAGCTCAGGGGTAGATCCACTGCCTCCAGTATAAAAGGTCTCCAGGTGGGGCTGGGGAATCATAGAATCCCAACATTTTAGGGCTCGAGGGGACTTTGGGGGGAGATCTCCTCCTCCACCCGCCTGCCAATGCAGGAAACCCACAAGAAACCTGTCCGCTTGTAGTCCGAACTGGTGGTTGCTGCTGGTGGCAAAAATTGGGTTCCTCCTCCTCCTCCTCCTCCTCCTCTTCTTCTTCTTCTTCTTCTTCTTCATCATCATCATCATCATCATCATCATCATCATCATCATCATCATCATCATCATCATCATCATCATCATCATCATCATCATCATCATCATCATCATCATCATCATCATCATCATCATCATCATCATCATCATCATCATCATCATCATCATCATCATCATCATCATCATCATCATCATCATCATCATCATCATCATCATCATCATCATCATCATCATCATCATCATCATCATCATCATCATCATCATCATCATCATCATCATCATCATCATCATCATCATCATCATCATCATCATCATCATCATCATCATCATCATCATCATCATCATCATCATCATCATCATCATCATCATCATCATCATCATCATCATCATCATCATCATCATCATCATCATCATCATCATCATCATCATCATCATCATCATCATCATCATTATCATCATCATCTGTTGAAATCCATACAGGAGAAGATATCATCATCTGTTGAAATCCATACAGGAGATTTCTCTAGTGCAATGGTCCCCAACCTTGAGCCTCCAGATGTTCCTGGACTACAACTCCCAGAAGCCTTCACCACCACCTCTGCTGGCCGGGATTTCTGGGAGTGGAAGTCCTAGAACATCTGGAGGCCCAAGGTTGGGGACCACTGCTCTAGCGGTCATTTCTTGAGAAATGCACCTCTCCTGCACCTCCTCCTCTGGAGCAGGGGGCTTCTGATTTCAGCTGCTCCTCGAGTCCTCGTGCAGATAATGGGACTTCTGATTCCTGTGGAAAGGCCTGGTTCTCCCTTGACCCTCCTTGAGGGGGTGCCTCGTGTCGGACTGCAGGCGAAACGTCTCGTGACTCAACGCTCCCCCATGCCGGAAACTGGATCTGTGCCACAAAACTTAATGGGGCCATCCTGGCTGGGGGCGGGGCGGGTGTGTAAGAGTGATTGTTCAAAACCAGGTAACTTTTCCAGCCTCTGACCACCTCGGTTGGCCACCTCAGGGAGAAAGAACCCAAGCAAAGGTCGGTACAGTTTGAGTGTTTCAGAGATGGCCTTATGGGATCAGGGCTGCCTCTTCTGAACCCAGACCAAATGCCCGGCGGGAGCCTCAGGGTGGCTGCCCCTCAATGTTGTGGACCTTTGAACGGGACCCAGACAAACCGAATCAGGTCTCCACAGGGACCGTCCGGGTGGCTGTTGTGATATACACTTTCTGTTGCCATTGTGGTGGATGCCTTTGGGGGGGTGGGCACACCATGGCACGCCATGCCGCTGCCTTGAGCCACCTATCCAGATGTGGCTGAGGACTAGATAAAAGACTTTTTGGGAATTGCACCTTGGCGGTCTTGGGTTTTGCCAGGAGAGCAAGGTGGCACCTGCATTGGCCGAGGAAACGAGGGCTGAAGAGTAAACCCCAGACCCAGAGATTCTGCTACTGACCATCAGCCAAAGCTGTCCAGAGTTTTACCTTGACCTCCCATCTTCCTTTTGATTCACACTCACCCAGAGGGGTTCCAACACAAGGGACTTTTGGGCATCGCCCCGGGGGGGGGTGTTGCATCCATCAAGCTGAGAACACAAAAGCCACTGTATGATTTTTACAGGAAATAATTGGGCAAAACCCAGAATCAGTGAAGAAGAAAACTAATATCCATTTTAATGAGAGGCAAAACCTAAATAGTCAATGAGCCATTGCCTTGGCATAGATCTGCTAGTTTATTTCAGATTTTTCTCTTCCTCAAAGCAGGGAACGTATACGCACCTGGGATTGGAATCTCCATCAAATCTCTCTCGCACACGTATAAAGGAGGTGAATAAGAAGCAGGAAGTCTTTTGCCCTCTGCAAGAGTTAACTGGGTTGGGCCCTTTTAAGGAGAAAATTGGGGTAAAAATATTTTGAATAAACAAACAAACTGTTTGGTAAAGCTATAGGGTCACCAGTTTTGCATACACCCTAATTATTTCGTCATCATACTGGTAGATCAGCACCGGAAAGGCTTTACAGCCACATCCATAGGTCATAAGAATTTTTAGCATGTATACATTACTGAAACAGCGCCGTCTACGTTGGCTCGGGCATGTCGTGAGAATGGCTGATGGTTGGATTCCAAAAGATCTCTGTATGGAGAATGAGTGCAGGGAAATCGCCCCAGAGGGAGACCACACAGCTGTGATCCAAGGAAATCTGCAAGCGGGATCTGAAGGCCTTAGGAATGGACCTCAACAGATGGGAAACCTTGACGTCTGAGCATTCAACCTGGAGGCAGGTGGGAAGGGTCTCTTCAAATTGGCCTCTCCCATTTTGAAGAGACCCTTGTCCAGCAGGCCGATGCAAAGAGGCAGTCCCGAATGCAGCAAAATCGGGGAGCTGGACAGGGGACAGATTGCGTTTGTTTCCAGTGTGGAAGGGATTGTGTCACTCTCGAATTGGCCTCCTCAGCCACACTAGACGCTGTTCTAGGTCCT